AAAATATATACAATTTTGTGGTTATTTAGCTGTTCTTTTCACAGCTGTGTATATTTTTCATTTTTTAAAACTAGAATGGTCATTAATGAAAGACTGATCTTTAGAGCTGCTGAGCACCCACCCCTCTCCTCTGTTTGAGTACATGAATGTTCACCACTTCTGAAATGCAGGCACAGAATTTCAAAGAACAAAGGCATTAAAAACATAATTAGTTTGTCAATAGTTCATTTGAATTCATTATGACTTCTGCCAGTTACTCATACTCTTAAGTGTCTGTAAAATCAGGCTCTGATTTTACCTCTTTCAAGAATGTGACTATTTAGTCTAGCATGTTTTCCTGCTTATGAAGGGTTGACAGATCACCCCTTCTGTACATTTGAATTGAATGCTTCTTTGAACATTCCTTCTTTCTGATGAATTTTGCCATTCTAAATTCCATGTATAAAAACAGAGAGAGTAGAGCAATCACTCACATTGAAGAAGGGAGGAATGTCAAAGATAAAAGATTATTTGTCTTTTCAAAGGCAGAAGAGGAAGATGCTGATTTAAGTAGAAAGCTTACCCATTCCCTACCATGCCATGCACCATTGTCTATCACAGGCTGCAACAGGGTTTGGTTTTATTCAGAAAGGGCATGCAAAAGCCAGCTCGATCTTTCTCCTCTTGATTCGGCTGCTGCTGCGGTTCCTGTTCAAAGACCGCTCAGCCCAAACACAGGGACCCTCTTTCTCTCACTAGAGCACCATTTCTACCTCCTGTCTGCCCAAGGGTGGTAATGAGCCAACTGCAATAGTGAACCAACTGCAACAGTGAGTCAGCAACCTCTACATGCATTTTCCACAGTCACCACTTGCTAACAGGGTGGTGAAACATGTCAGCCTCTCCCCTTGGCGTGTCACTTCTTTTCTATTTGATCAAAGCCCAAAAAATACTCCAAAGATTAGGGTTGCTTGTAAAGTGTAGAAAAATGATTCAGTGTACCTAAATCTGGTTTTTGCTTTGCAAGGACAGGTGAATGTGAACCTTACAGAAATGTGACAGTTCATGTGAATGTAGTTTCATAAAAACCTTTTGTTCTTTACTTTCTGCATTCATAATTTAAGTTCCTCACATTCTCATTTCTAGTGTTACAGAGCTAGAGTTTATCTAAAACAGGAGAGAAGGGCATCAAATTGTCTTCCACAAAGCACCCAAATTATTGTGTTTTTTTTTTTTAAATGTTCATTTCAGCTGAATTAAATTTGATTTACTGCCTTCAAGTTTCACTGTTCATTATATCTTCCATTAGATCTGGACATAGAATTTGTTATGCCGTGTCCAGAAGACAATAACTTTAATGGCATATGTCATGATGATTACATAGGAAAGATAGATTTTGATAAGAAAAATGTGATATAATCTTGTGTGAAATATGTGGTTTTAATTTCAAAGATAATCTCCTGAATAAATGGTTTGTTTAGAGACATAGGGACCTTTACAAAGAGCTGTAAGGATACAGCTCTAACTTGTCTTAAGTAGTTAGTCATCTTTTCAATGTATGAAAAATTGATAAATAGGAGTAAGATGTCTATTTGGTATTGGGAAATTAGTTCTACGTACAATTGCTCATTTTTTTTAACGTTGGGCTGTGTTTATCACTAGTCAAATACATAAAGACAGGTGGCACTTAAAAATTTGTACATATGTCTGGACTTACTTGTTTGATTTGCACAAGACTGATTATTCTCCAACTATGTCTTCCCCTTCTTTATTTTTAAGGTCACCAAGTTATCCACCACCTGGCTGTGGTAAAAATAAATCAAAACTGAAGTCAGAACTGGATGGGATCTCCAAAACTCACAAGCTGCTGGGAAGGACTTACTCTAGCACAGTTAAGGCAGAGGATGTGTGTGCCACAAAATCTCACAGAACCTTTGGCCGCTCATTATTAAGTGGCCCTAGGACTGAACAGACAATAGCTATTAAATCGCACAAACTGTTGAACCGTTCTTGCTCTGCAGCTGTCAAACAGGAGGAGTGCATCACTTTAAAGCCCCATAAGCTGTTAAGTAGGTCGTGTTCTGGGGACCCTCGATGTGAGCACAACAGCACCTTGAAGCCCCACAAACTTTTAAGCAGGTCCTACTCCAGTAATATTAGAATGGAAGAATTGAATGGATTGAAGAATCACAAGTTACTCAGCAAGACTTACTCCAATGCCCCTAAATCATACAAAATGGAGCCTTTCAAGGAGTCCACCATAGCAGAGGGCAGGAGTCTCTCTCTTACCTCAGGGCTTATTGGTATCTTAACACCATCTTCATTATCACCTTCACAAGCTGCTGTGCGTAATAATTTTTTTATTCTGCTCATTTTCCTCAATTATTTTCCAAATGTACTATTATGCTTATGATGCAAAGGTATTAATAATTAGGACATATGTTAGTGTGTTAGATATATGTTATATATATATGTGATACATATGTTGTGTGGGTTAGATGAATGGACAGTGAGGTGGATTGAAAACTGGATGACAGATAGAGCTCAGAGGGTGGTGGCTAGTGGTGCAGAGTCTAGTTGGAGGTCAGTGACGAGTGGTGTTCCCCAGGGGTCAGTACTGGGTCCAGTACTGTTCAATATATTCATCAATGACCTGGATGAAGGGATAGAGTGTACCATAAGCAAGTTTGCTGATGACACAAAACTGGGAGAAGTGGCTGACATGCTGGAAGGCTGTGCTGCCATACAGCGTGACCCGGACAGGCTGGAGAGTTGGGAGGAGAGGAACCTAATGAAATTCAACAAGGGCAAGTGTAGGGTACTGCATCTGGGAAGGAATAACCCCATGCATCAGTACAGGTTGGGTGCTGACCTGCTGGAGAGCAGCTCTGTGGAAAGGGACCTGGGAGTCCTGGTGGACAACAGCATGACCAT